GCATGCCTGATCGGCGTTGAAGTTTGTGTAGGCGGCAGTGAAAGGAGCCTGAGACCAATCGATCTTCACTCGGCCTCCCCTTGTGGCCCAACTGTCGCCGTTCCACAGGCTTGATTGTAGCCTCAATGCCTGCCTTTTGGGGAATGGAATGCCCTTGGATTCCATGTTCTTGAACTCTCTTATCGGAGTCCCATCCACGTACAATCTGCCAACAATTTATAACCATTAATAAAGTGTCAAACTTTTCTTACCTCCTACCCCGTCTTCACGTTGGTAACAGTCCAATTCCACCTATTGCTAGTAGATATTATCTTCTTTGAATTTGCTCCACTTCAAAGTTTTTAAAACACGTCTACTAAGAGAGGTTTCCACACCCTTCTAAATAATGTTTAGTTCTACTCTCCAACCGATGTGAGATCTTACCATCTACCCTTTCCGAAGCCCAATGTCCTTGTTGGCACTTGTTTATCTCTCCAATCTATATGGAAATATATAGATGAGAGAAGAGTTGTTAACTTACATGATATTTTTGGGATTCCATAGAAAGGAATAAGTGTGAAAATCAGCAGTTGGATCAAACCAAAGGTAGAATTGTTGCTCTCTATCACCTTTGCCTTGAACGAAGATGTTTGTATGAACAATATATGGTTCACAACTAAGGTTTCCCAAGAACTCGAAGTCTATCTCATCCCACTTTGATTCTTTTGAACGTAACTGCAATTCGTATTACCATTCAAAGTTAAACATGTGATTGTCTTATAATAACCGTTGAAGATAAATTCAGTGAATATACTTATCTTTCATGAAAAACTTTAAATAACCTTAGCTCTGCTCGACTTTATCACACTAATTACCTAATCTTGTATTAGGTAATATTTAAATTCAATGTACTAAGTCTTTTTTTATTTTTTATTTTTCATTAAAATGACTTTGTACCTTAAATCTGCTTTAATAGCCTAATTAATGACTTTTGACTTTACCGGTGATTTTTTTAAAAAATAATTAATGTAAATTATTATAGGTAAAATATCATATCATAAAACTCATAACTAAAAATATAAACTTTAATTAAAAGAAGATGATTTGAATTTTTAATTATATTCTTTTAATACATTTTATGAAATAGACTTTGGATCCTTAAAGTACAATTACTAATAAATGAACGAAAGTTAAATACAAATTTTGAAAATATAATGGGTTTAAATAAATATATATTTACTTCCAATATAATTATATATACATTTTTTTAATTTTATTTTATTTGTACACTGAACTAAAATTTATAATTAAAGGTTAATAAATAAATAATTTATAAATTAAACATTTTACTTTTATCAAAAACAAAAATTTAAATAAAAACAATTTCAACAAATGTTTAATTTATAAATAAATGTTTAATTCAATGTAATGGAGTGAAGAGTTACGTGCTTTAATTTTATTAAAGGAAAATCACGGAATTAGAGAGCTTACGTAATACGCCGTCACCGTGCCGGCGGAGTTTCCGGGGACGAGCTTAATCTGCATGTCGATTTTGGCAAACACATATTGGTTCCTCGACCAGAAGCCGGAGCCGGAGCCTTTGTCAAGCGACAGCGTCAGCTCATTTCCGCCGTCCAGAAACTTGGCTCGGTCGCCACCCCACGTGATCTCCAACTCCCCGTTCATATCGACGGCGCCGGAAAACCCCAACAGACAAACAACCAAAACCACCAAACACAACGGCGGCGACGCTTCAGCCATGGGTGTCAGCGGCTTTGCTTTTGTAGTTATTATGAGAACGAATGGCACTGAGAAGTAAATATTTATAAAAGGAGAGAGAGAGAGAGAGAGAGAGTGTTGACGTGGAGATAAGTGGTTGTTGTAAAGCGGTTAAGAAGAGATCGAATTTGGTTCGTTGGATGAATCAATAAGTGGGGTCATGAATGAATGGACATGAAGAAATACAGGAAAGAAAAAATTATACCAAATTTGAATATCTCAATTTCATAGCATCAATAAATTTTTAATTAGACTTCTGAATGAATGTATTATAAAAAATATATGAATTCGAACATGAACTACACGTTCATAAAAGCATGATCGAACCCTAGCGTAAGAACTTATTATCAATTTAATAACATATGGGATGAGATGAGAGGTTTGAAAACGCATGTCTTAATTAATTGAGCTCATAAACCGTGTTTTATTAGGGAGAGGTTATCACACACTTGTAAGGAATACTTCGTTCCCCTAATGTAGAATCTCACAATCCACTTTCTTTGGAAGCCAGTGATCTTGCTGGCACATCGCCTGATATTTGACTCCGATATCCTTTGTAACAGTTCAAACTCACCGCTAACAGAAATTGTCCGTTTTAGTCTCTTATGTATTACCATCAGTTTCATAGTTTTAAAATGTGTCTGCTAGAGAGAGGATATTACACCCTTATAAGGAATTTTTCATTCCCCCGACATAGAATCTCACAATCTATCTCCCTTGAGAGCCAACGTTCTTGCTAGCACACCGCTCGATGTCTGGTTCTGATACCATTTGTAATAGCTCAAACCTAGTGCTATCAAATATTGTCTGCTTTAGCTGGTTACGTATGATCATCATCCTCGTTATTTTAAAACGCATTTACAAGTGAGAGGTTATCACACTTTTATAAAGAAGGTTTGTTTCCTTTACTAACTAACGTGGGATTTCACAAAATTCAATATATGTTTCTTGCTCGAATACTTATACCCATGTTAAAATTAGGGTATAACCCAAGAATTTAAGCTACTAAATTAGAATCGAATCGAGTAAGATTACATTTTTCCTGTCATGTGAGCAAAAATAACAAAGTAGACTAGGGCTAAAATTATAATTTTACAAGACATTTAATTCCTACCAACCGTAAACCATAAAAGGCAAACAGGGTTGATTTTGATTTGGTCGAAGTTAAGAAAATGGTATATGGAAGAAAATAGACCACGCGGTTAGAGCTATGATTTTTGGTGGTAAACATTTACAAGTGATATTGTTTTTTAAGGTAATGAGTAGCTGTGCCCACCATATCTACTAGCTTCCAATTATGGGTCTTATGCTGCATTCCAGGTATACAGAGGTACCCATAAGTCACCAAAAACTAACCTTCCCATCTCCAAATTTCAAAGCTTTGTTACATATGGATCCTCTAACTTCTACACTCCTTCTTTCTTTCTTTGACCGTTGGTTGTTAATGTAATGTATCGTAGCAGCCTCACAACTTTATAGCATGTCTTTTCGGGAGAAGTTTTCACGTCCTTATAAGAAATGTTCTGTTTCTCTCACCAAGCTTGATTGAATGTCTTTTAGTGTAGCCAATTGTTCGCTCCCAAAGATCTTATGTGTGTTATGTGTGTCCTAGTATATTGTTATCTACCCTCTTAATGGGAGAATAACTTTTGTGTTCATGGATCTACCTTGCGCCCATCTCAAGTGATTTGTTAGATTGTTCGTTGTAATGGACTTCTCTATTATCCTAGGTGGAGCTACGTTGACTCTTTTCATCGGGATCTGTTTATTTAACTTGTATTTTGTATGATTGTGATTTGTTTATACGTTGACCTCAAACTAGGAGGTCCTCTAACTCCTCACGAGGTGATGTTCACTTGAGCTTATGTTTTTGGATATCAGATGGAGGTAATTTCGATGCTTGACATTCTAATATCAATCTTTTAAATAAAAATTATGAATTCTTAGAAAATTTGTTGTAATATTGTCCCTGGTCCAATCTTACAAATTGTTATTGGATTTATGACTTACAATATGCTTCAAAATTGATTGAGATTGACGTATTAAAGCATGTTAGTGATTGGTGTCGTATATTTGTACTCATAAAGTTTAACTAGATTACATAGACCTTTGTGCAGCCAAGCATTAGGACGAGCTCAAAAGAGCAAGATTATGTGGCACCAATTGTTAGGATAAGCTACGAGGAATTAGATAGCAAACATCAATCATTGAGGAAACTTGTGGCACCAATGATCGAGATAAGTTCAAAGGAGCTAGTTGATCTACTCATTTAGTAGGTCATGAGACAACAATGATTGAGATATGAGCTTAAGAGAGCTAGACGATATGGTACTAATCATTGAGCTAGATCCAGCATGAATGTTTTTTAAGATATGATGGTTAAGCAAAACTTAAAACAATGACTAATTTTTACTTATATCAATAAGATGAAGTTTCTAATTTAAACTTAAGCATGTTTGTTGTTCATGGACATAGTTTTCACGGTTAGAAAAGACGACAACCATTACTTTTATTTTTTATAATGTGGTTATGTTATAGGAACGTTGTGAGATCCCACATTGGTTGGAGAAGGAGTGTAGAAACCTCCTTAATAGACATGTTTTAAAACTGAGAGGCTAACAGCGATACGTAATGGGTTAAAGCAAATAATATCGGTTAGCGGTAGGCTTGGGCTGTTACAAATGGTATCAGAGCCCGTCACTAGACAATGTGTCAGCGAGGACACTAGCCCCTAAGGGGGTGGATTATGCGATTCCATGTCAGTTGGAGAGGAGGACGAAACATTTTCTTATAAGGGTGTGGAAATCTCTCTCTGATCAACACGTTTTAGAATCGTGAGACTAATGGACAATATCTGCTAAAGGTGGGATCAGCAGTTACTAATGCTTAAAAATACATAAAGATTTAAATCTTGTTTTACGTGAACGTTATATTTCAGATACGGATATTTCAAATACTCGTTTCTTTTGGGGTCGAAAGTTCAAATTCTCGTACCTAAAAATATATATATTGTGAAAGAGTTCCAAAATTGATGGTGTATTATTCTTTCCTTCATAACAAGGAGCCAAAAAGGTATAAGAGCGAGAATATGAATATCAGGGAAAGGGCGGCAACCAACAGTTTTGTACCATAGAGTAAGCATTTGCAGGAGCGAGCAAGGGATCTTCAATGGCTTCCCGTGGTGAAAATCCCTTGGTTTATCGTGGACATCTCTGGAACTTCCTAGAAAGGTAAAACACCATCTTGCCCTTCTTTCTGTCTTCTTCATGCTCATTTTCAAATCGTCGTGCACCATTCTCGGACAAAGAAGCTATCCTCTCTGCAATTCTTTTTTTTGCCTTAGCCGTCCTTCAATTTGTTGTACTGCAAACGATAGAGTTCGATTTGAATTTTATTTCGTGTTCATCTGAGGTGGAGAAGTTATTGGTTGTCCTTGAATCCCAAAAACCCTTTTCAAATTTGATATAGCAAATTTATCAGCATTCTTTTGCTATTTGTTTAGAATTTGAAATTTTCTTTGAGGTATTATTTCTTTAGTTGCTTTGAACTTGAGATCTCTGGATGTAAGTTTCATTACTAATTGTTTGCTCTTAGGAGCGGTTATGATTTGGTGATTTATTATTAATTGAAAATTGAAATCTCTCGTAGGAATGGCTTTTCTAGAGGTAAAACAGAAACTCCTACGCGAGATTGAAGATCTAGGATTCCCAAGGGCCCGAGTTGTCCGAGCACTTCATAGTACTGGTGAGAATAATTGACGGACATTCATAGGTTGAGTATATCAATCATATGCTACGATTTGATATGTGACAAAGTAGGAGCCATTTCACTATTTTCATTTCTTCACTGAGTGTGAATGGTGATAATAAACGATTGATAATGACAAACAATTCTCTTTTACCTTTGCATTACAAGTGTACAGCTAAAGATAGATGTAAGAGGACCGAGAGCCTTCTACTGTTTATCATTTTCAGAGAAGTACTTTCTTTGTTCTTCAGGGAATGTCAGCACTGAAGCTGCAATTAATTGGCTTATTGATCATGAGAATGATTCAGATATAGATCAAATGCCCCTGGTATAATTCTTTATCTATATAGATTTCTTTATTACATTTCATTCATTCAGTTAGATTTCTATTTCGATTGCATGCATTATTAATGATCAAAGATCATGTGAGATCCCACATCGATTGGAGAGAGGAACGAGTACCAGCGAGGACGCCGGGCCTCGAAGGGGGGTGGGTTCAAAGATCCCACATCAGTTGAGGAGGAGAACGAAGCATTCTTTATAAGCGTGTGGAAACCTCTCCCTAGCAGATGCGTTTTAAAAACCTTAAGGGGAAGCCAGAAAGGGAAAGTCCAAAGAGCACAATATATACTAGCGGTGGGCTTGGGTTGTTACAAATGGTATCAAAGTTAGACATCGGGTGGTGTGCCAGCAAGGACGCTGAGGACGCTTGGTCCTGAAGGGGGGGGGGGGGGGGGAT